AGTTTTAATATTTAGATGGTCAAAAATGATCAATATGTACATATATGTTTGGACAGTTAAATATTGTCAATGTATACATATATATTTGATTGTCCATATGTATAAAGTTTTTACGAAAAATCACATATATACTGATACATTTATACAATTTCTAAATTATAATATCTGTTGATTTTAATAATATACATATACATATACACATGACCATTATATAAAAATATTCAAATAGACTCTTACAAATATATAAAATACTAGGGTCGGTCCGCGCTACGCGCGGAAATTTACTTTCATTATTTTTTGCGTTTATAATTTATTTTTTAGTTTAGAAAATTTATCGTATCTTAATTGTATATCATTATCTTGTGATTTATTTTTCTTAACTTTGTTGTTTTTTCAATTCTGTTAGACAAATGTTTACTATAAAAAATCATCTTCAGTCTCTTACTATAGATTAAACTTTCTAATAGAATCGTTGAGATAATTTGAATGAGGCTATATTCTGATTTCAGTTTAGCAAAATATCGATTATTTAACCAGTTTGCTTGTCCAAAAAGAAAAACAAAACTGTTTGCTTTATTTTAAATATTTTTGTTTCACTTCTATTATTGTATGATGTATTTTGTTCAGAAGTCCAAGTATATACTTTTATATTTATATCATAAGTGAAATTATGGTTGAATTTTTTTTAATTCAGTATGTAACTTTAAAAAGGATCTATAATTTTGTGGATTCAATAATTTTACCTGTATTTTATATCATAAGAACTATTGTGTTCATTTATTGTGTAGTAGAGTGTGTTGTATCTATTTGCAAATCAAATTCTTATTTTACTGTGAATCTTTTTTCATTAAAATATAATTGTTCTATTTGAATTTTTTCAATGTTGTATTTTGATTTTGGTTATTACTTCTTTGTTTATATGTATCGTTTTATACAATATTTTTAAAATTATTTTCTTGAAGTGTGTAAATTTATGATAAACGATTTGATTTTTCATAAAAATCTAAGATAAGAATATGAAAATTCATTTATGTAATTGTGAGTAAGTGTTTTAAAATCACTAAAACATGTTTGAAAAAATATATTTGTTCTCAGTAAAAAACACAGATTGAAGATCTTTTTCAGAAAATAACTATATTTATGTGGATATGATAATTTTACCTTTTATATATATATATATATAGATTGGAAAAAGAACTGTTAAGTTTAGTGATTTTGGAAATATAGAACGAAATAGTGTCCAATTACATGTTATAACTAGCGCACATCAAGAGGAAGTGCCATTTTTATCATAATTGTATGATAGTTTTAACGGTACAAAACAACTAATTTCAACGAATGTTTAACCACTACAAATTCTTATTTCACATTTGATCAAATTCACAAATGTGCAAGAGGAAGACCGAACAAAAGAATCAATATTACCTTTTCATTAGAAAAATGCAGACTGGCAAGTCATCAATTATGACAATGAATCTTAACAATACAAAATTACATACTCTCATCTCGAATGTATATATTAGAACACAGCACAACTCCAAACCATCATTTCCCCATCCTATCTATTCGCATTCCTCCATGTTGAACCTTCCGGTTTCATAGACATCGTACGTCCACACAGGTTGAAGCAATTCTCTTGCGCTGTTGATCTCGACTTCGTCTTCTTCTATCTCTTCCCCAGTCTCTTTCTCTATTATCAGTGAATTCTTGGAAGTCAGGCTAACATTGTGTCAAGCTCTTTCCACTCTCTGTCTTACTAAGCAACTTCACACGGAGAAAAGGACAAACCAAAAGATGTACTGTAATCTTTTTCTTATACACAGCTGAACCATCACTTTGGAGTTACTTTTCTCAGTTTGTAGACGTGTTGATATTTCTCAGCCTTTTAAGTGCCAGGAGATGAAGATGAGATTCTGAGGTGTCATCGTTTTCATGTAATTGGAGCTTCGCACATGTAAGAAACCAAGTCGGAAATCTTAGTTTTGATGTGGTTGAATGTGAATATCAGTGGTGAATCTAAAAACTTGAAATAAAATTGAATTACATCACTATTTACACAGCTTATTATGAATGATGATCGACAAACTTACATTTCACCTATTAAGAACTCAAACAAACCAAAGATATATTACCTTTGTGAGTATGATATTAAAGATATCAGTCTCGACCTCTGATGCCAACAGGTCCTCCCCTTGATGATGGCTACAAAATAAAAATCAAATAAACAAATTATCAGGATGGTGAAATTTACAAATTTAGAATCTTTTAATTAAAGTAATAGAAGAGACCAAGAGGGTTTTGTGGAGCTGTTTGTAGACTGCAGAATTACGGAAACCAAAATGACATGGTTTCGGAGTAACGACATCAGCCTGATACTTTTCTACCATTGAAACGGAGCTCCTCAAATCTCTGCCGGCGCCGAAAGCGTTTGGCTGAATCACCTACCGATGCACCGTTTCTTGCAAACCAACAAAAAAATGGATTGAAATATCTCAACACCTGTTCATCAGGATTTGAACTGTGAATGGAATGGTTGATTAGTGTCAATCACGTTGAACCAAATGAAGGAAACAAAATCAGATACTGGCTAATGTATAACAGTCCCACCAATCACATACACAAAACTTTAGAAATCATCCTAAATTAAGTTTAGAAGCGAAAATAACAGATGAGACAATAATACCTAGATAGTCAATGAGAAGAAAAAAAACATTCTACTGAAAAAATATTTCTAGTGCTATGATGAATTGTGAGGATGATATTCAAGGTATGAAACCTTACCTTTATATAGGTGGAGATACACCAGCTGGAAGAGATATAAGAATCATTGAATGAGTCAAAAGAGTTAAGGCCTTAAGGGCATTGAATCAATGCAGCACGTTACTGTTCGGAGTAGAAGAAGAAACGCAAATGACACGAACCGATCTAGATGCATACCTTCCTCACGAAGACATGTCTCACACGACCTTTCAGAACCTCCGTTGTTGTCAACCGTAATCACAGTTTGCAGTAGATGATGAACCCTAATAATCAATGGCGGCTTCTCATGAAGAAGGGAAAGTCGACATCGTCGCTTTTGTTTGTTAATCAGACCAAATAATATAATTAAAGGTCCACAAATAATTATGTCGTTCAGGCCCAATAGAAAACAAAACAGAAGCGAGGATATTTTCTTTGAAGAGGACACATGTCACATTCTCCTTGTAATAATTTATGACGTGACACCTTTAAAAGAGGGATAACCCTACTTTATATATATAGATATTTTCTAAGATTTAATATTTATATTGCTGATGACATATCCACATGTACATGTAAAATTTATTATCTGCATGTACAACCATTTTCATGTACATCAATAAATATGAGTCGTGTATTTGATATGGACTGAACAAGTTTGGAAATTAACTAACCAAAGTTTAGTTTTGTAATTTTCTTAAAAAAGTTTGATAAATATTGTATGTAACATTAATTTATTTATGGATATATGATATCGCATGATTTTATTGAGTTCTAACATTTGTTTTTAGTTTAATAAATCAGTTTAGTATTCATTTCAATGTGTATAGTGAATATTTTTGTTTATTTTAAATTAATAGGGTTTAGAGTTCTTGATTGAAAATTTAGGTACGAAATTGAAAATTAATCTGTGAATATTTAGACTTTGGTACAAAATGAAAAAAAGCAAGAACTTTAGGGACTAAAGTTGCAATCATCAGAACTTAGCCATTGTTGACTGAACTTTGGAGCTCGATCTCGGATCAATAACGCACAGTGACCACGGCTGCGGCAAGAGCTGAGAACATGAAAAAAACGGAGACAAGTTGGATAGGAGGACCGCGGTGGTGAGAGTCGTGACGACTTGATAACCATCGTGAGGCAAGATCTCATCTCGACTGAAAAACTGAGACACTGCCCAGAAAGTAACGATGACTACAATCCAGAGAGAGACAAAAGCCATGAATTCGGGAGAAGCACTGCGGGTTCATGACGTGGAGGGGATGCGCCTGTTGTCGAAAGGCAGGGAGTCGGGTTCGAGATCGAGCTTGAGCACGGACACACGACCGCAAACAGAGCTGAGGCGTGTTTTCGTGATATGGAAGCTCATGGCTTAGATTCGAACTTCTCCATGTCGGACGAAGACCGAGCTTTCTAACAATAAAAAAAAGGAAGAAGACGAGAGGTTTCGACGGATTTATCGTTGTCTTCTTTATCTTTTAGGTCCGATTTATTTTTGTATATTAAAATATTATTAAAGTTATGATTATTTGGAGTTAGGGTAACTAAGTAGAGACAACAATTGATTTATATTTAGGAAATAGTTAACAAAAAGTGTCTCAATAGCTAGAAGTGACCCACACTGTAATTTTCTCATAAATCAATCCTTAGGCATAAAGTGCGTTTGTTACGATCTTCATCATTTGGTTCGAAATCCAAACAAGATAAATAATAATAATTTAGTTCCCATCAAAATTGAATTTGGGGACTTTAAGCACAGCCTTACAACATTCAAGCTTCCCATAAATCTCTTGTTCGCTGCGCCTTTCAACAGCAATGACAGCACACCAAATATTCTTCTCGTTGGAGTCAAAACCACGCACTTTCTTATCCCACAAAACCGCAATCTTGCCACCATGATTTACCAACCTTACACGAGGAGTACAACTGTTTGGTATTTTTGGGAGTTTTTTCAAACCCTTTAAGTCTCTCCACAATATTCCCTTGGAGTCGTACCATTGAAGCATTGTGGACAATCTATAACTCATGTACATTATGTTGTTTATCATGAATGACGAATTAGAGGGAGCCCAACCGAGACTCGTTTCGAATCCTACAACGTCCCATTTAATTTCATCTGCCTTGTAAACCATATTTTTATCCCCAAACAGGTAAAGCTTTCCGTCTGGCTAAGTTTCTTAATGTATAACTTTTCCCAAATATCTCTGCTCTAGGGCATGGTAGATGCTCCCATGTTTGTTTCTTCAGATCAAAAGCCTCCATCAAATCTGATGAGCCCTAACGTTCCAGCCTTCCACTATGTATATTTTCCCATCAATAACGCAGAGAGGGTACATTCGCGTCATCTGCATGCTTGGAGCTTCGTGCCAAGTGTGAGACCGACAGTCCAAGAAGAAGACTCTAGACGAGATCCCACAATTGTTAAATTTTCCAACTGTGTAGATAGTAGAACCAATTGCGACACAAGTCCACCAAAACAAAGGAGAAATTTTGTGAGCTGAGACAGGGACCATAAGATAGTTGCTCGACTTTGGGATTCTATATGGTCTATAGCATGAAAAACCATCGTGAGGTAGAGTTAGGAGGATTAGACTTAGGGCTTGGAGTTGGTCTTTTACATAGAGCGTACCAACATTGTTTAGAACCATCACTGAACCATAAGCACAAATATAGACAACTCTAGGTGCGGCCTAAGAGAGTTCGGGTCTGGTAAAGCTCAAATATCTTTATACAAATATTTTTGCTTGATTAATATTTAAATATAAGTTGTTTTATAATTTGATTTTTAATTAAACTTTATAATAGAATAATATCATTTTCAGAAGCAAAAATTAATTATATATAAAAATATAATATATATAAGAATTATCGTTTTATTATAATATTATTTCTTGATAACAACATTATATATAAGAATTGTTATTATTTAAATACTTTTTTTTATTTTGAAAATTTTATTCTATTATTTTATAATCAATTAATCTAATATTATTCAGAAAATTTTCTTTTTAATTATATCATAAATTATATATATATATATATATAATTTTTATTAAGGGTATCATTGACATTAACCATTCTTATTTTTAGCACGAGAACTCGAATGCGCAAAATCAATTCGGAAATAATAGAATAGATAATTACTAATACGATTATAATCTATATGAGAAAATATTAAAATATATTTCCTAAATAATACTTAGAAGATCGTAAAAATCTATACTATTAAAGCAAAATACCTGTTAGGATTTTGTCCATGATTTTCTAAAAAATTACAATGTGATGCCATTGTCATATTTAGAAATTAAATTATTAAATAATACGACAGTAAAAAGAACCAATTATGTTGCAGTATTTAAAACAAGAATCATTTGAGATTTATGCTTGTCAAAATAAGGGATTATTCCCCCAAAAGTAGCAAAAATGATATGTATATGTGTCTTCCCCGTGAAGAATCAAAAGTGGTGAAATAAGAATTTACATTTTTTTGTCATTTTTTGTCATCGAATGATGAATCACATATGAGATAGTATATTTATGAGGACTATATCAACCATTATTTAAGAGAGAAATTCGTTATAATTCTATAGGTATATGAACCCAAATTAACCGTAACAGGTAGATAGGTCACGAATTATACTAATTTTATATCTTGATAATTATTTAGATTGAAAAAGTAAAAAAATACAAAGTGAGTACATAGTATATACATATGTTCTCTGTCATTTTTTTGTCATCAAATGATGAATCACATATGAGATAGTATATATATGAGGACTATATCATCATTATTTAAGAGAAGCTTTTGTTATAATTCTACATGTATTAATTTTATATTTTGATAATTTTTATATTATAAAAGTTTAAAATACAAAGTGAGTATATACACAAGTTTTTTTGTCATCGAATATATACATATATTATTCATTAAAAATATAAAATATTATTAAAATACAAGATCTTTTTTTGAAGTACCTTAAATTTGTTTTAATTATTACAAGTATGTCCTTACATTCTTTTAATCTATTATAACTATCCATTAATATATTATCAAACACATTTAATACACATTTAATCTCGCCAAACATTAATATATTCCACGGTTAATGCGTTTTCGAAATCCTTATTATAATTACATAGTTTATTTTAATTTAATATTACTTTATTTCTGTTTAATGACTATATTTATATACATTTTTTGAACTATACCATCATTTAATCTGCAACATAAGTGACGTAAATTCAAAATTACTCGAATAGTTTTTAAGAAAAATATTTAAATTTACATTTTTATCCTAATTATTTAAAATTATTTTAAAACAGGAATCGAGCCATAATTAAACTGAATTTGAAATTTTATTGGGTTCCTAACATTATTATATATTCAAACCAAAAAAAAAAACCAAAATAATCAAACTAAAACTAAATTCAAATTCATAAATAATCGAACGTTGTCTGTAATCTTTGAACCGAAAATATAAAATCACTACTGAAAAAACAATTGGAGTCGAAAACAAAAACAAAAACAGTCCCGTGCTTTTAAAGCGCGGGTTAATATGTAGTATATATATTAAATCAATATTCATTTTCAACACATGGAGCTAGAGTTAAATTGTGTACACAGATCATAGGAAACAATTTGAACTTTCTTCTCAAAAAAAAATATTCGAACTTTCGTGGAGAATGTCCTATAATATTTTTTTTTATTACTTGACATGTGTGGATGGTAGATTAAATGACTAAGTATTGAGGAGATGTGGTGAATTACTGATCGAGCATAATTAGAGGAAGCATAATCACAGGGATGGACGTATAGTCAAGCTAAGATCAAACTATTCTGAGAAGCAAGATACATGTTTATATATCATGCATTTTTAGTAATTTGTTAGGTTGCTGGATTAGAATAAGAAAACAATAATAATTGAACTGATATTTGTTGAGGTAAAATGTACAGAAATCCTAAAGTATAAAGAAAATTCTGAAAATGATGGTCGAGTGAGGTAATCAACGGTCGAACATGCGGCAAGGGAAACCGGGTTGTGTCCCTTCAATAATCATAAAAGACATATATATTGTATTTTGGCTTCAAACAATCTATAGAAGTAAATCTTGAATGAATATATTGGTTTGTCTTGGCGTTACACTACAAGTAAACACGCTACATTCCAACGGACATTCCGATCAGTTTTTTGTGACAAAATTCTGACGAGAAACATACGAAACATATATTTTAAAGTTCGTCAGTATTTCATCAAACTTTTCTGATGAAATACCGTCGAAAGTAAAGTCGTCAGATTTTTTTCCGACGGAATATCAACATAGTTTGGGGTTTCGATAGAGGTTTGATGGTTCTCGACGGAATTCCGACGAACTTTGGGGTTTTGATGGGGGTTTGAAGGTCATCAAAATTCCGTAGGAAAATTTCGTTAGAATACCGACGAACAATTCAGTTTCGTCGGAATTCCGTCAGAATATTCCAACGGAATACCGACAACCATAATTTTAGATTTGCAAAGTTGTCTAAAAATGTATAATTGGATACTTAAAATATCCAAATAAGAAATATATATGTTTATAATAAGAAATTAGTTTACATATAAAGGTTTCATCATGTTTTTCATATAACAAAATTATTCGTATACTTATTAACGTATTTGTAACATCCTCCAATAATACTTATGCTTAATGCAAACATATTATGGTAACATAAGACTAGATTTTGATTTTGTATAATAGAGTGTGTGTGAAACAATTAAATATTTAAGTTATACCTCAGACAAATCATTTACAAATTATCAACGATTTGTATGTGTTCGGAGCTTGTTGATTTGAAACTCGAAAATTCATTTTTTTGGAATTTCGTCAAAATTCCATCGATAATACCGACGATATTCCGACGCAGTTCTAACGGTTAATACCGACAAAATTCTGACGGATTATACCGATAAAATTCCAACGGATTCTATCCTCAACCAATCAAAAGACATGCAGAGAGTCAAAGATTCTCGAGGCTTGCTTTGTCGATATTCGCGAGTGTTCCTACAAAATTCCGACGGATTGTTACCGACAGCAAGCTTTTTGTCGGAATATTTTACTTTACCCGGGAAGAATATTCGCGAAATGATTTCGTAGTAAAAATAAAACAACGGAATTCTGACGGAATGTGTCCGTCGGTATATTTTTAATATATAAACCAACCCTTCTTCTTCTCCCTCATTTTCTTCTCTTCTTCTTTTTTTTCCTCTGCGGCTCTCCCTCCTCTCTCTCTCTCTCAAAAACCGTCGATTCCAAAGAGATCTCCTTCAAAATATTTTTTTCTAAACATTTAAGTCTTTGAATCCCTCTTTAGATTTTTCTTTTTAGGTTTGGAATGTTAGATTTATGGATTTTAGGTTAGAATCTAAAGATTTAGGATTGAATTGATAGTTTTAAGAGTTATATGTTGTTAGATTTTGTTAGGTTTTGGTTTATATGTAGATTGAAAATTTTAGATTTGTAGATTATGTTTTATATGTTAAATATTGTTAGAAAATGTTTTCTTTCTGTTAAATATATTTATAAAACGTTTTTTATAACTATTGGATATAAATATAACGTTTTAATATATATATATATATATTATATATAATGTTTTCAAGTTTTTATTATCTTTTATTGTTTCAAAACATTTTTATAAATTTTTATAACGTTTAAGCTTTTTATAAAACATTTTAAGTTTATATTTTTTTCAAGTTTTTTTATAATTTATAAAAAGTTTTCTGGTTTCTAAAATTTATCAAAACCTTTTTCACCTTTTTAAAAACCTTTTTAATCTATAAAATGTTTTTGTGTTTTTTTTTTAGATTTAATAAAAAAAATTTCAGTTGTTAGAAAAATGTTCCAATTACCAAAAGTTTAGAAAAATTAAAAAAAAAAACATTTTATCTTTGTTGTAAAATATTTTCATTTTATAAACCATTTTATGTTTTGAAAAAGTTATAAAAAAAATTATTATAAAGGCTTTTAAAACAATTATAATACAAATTCTTTTTCTAATTTTAATTATATACATAAAAAGAATTTAAAATTTTTTTTATATATGATTGTTAAAAAATAATTTTATTACAAAAACGTTTTTCTAATTTTAAAATTTTATATATACATATATATATGGAATTAAAACTATTTAAATAAAATCGATTTTATTTATTTATTCAATTTAATTTATAAATTTCGTCGGAAATAAGCTCCTAGGAATTTTGTCGGAAATTAGTTCAACAGAATTTCGTCGGAAAATTATCCGTCGAAATTTCGTTAGAAAGTTGTCCGTCGGAATTTTGTCGAAAATCTATCTGTGGTACTGGTCGGAATTTTGTCAGAATTTGTGACAAAATTCTGACAAATTTTTTCTTTCCGATGAATTATTTTCGACGACTCATTTCATCGGAATTTCATCGGAATTGCCTTATTCCGACGAAATTAGCCATTGGATTTTGCGTGTTTTCTTGTAGTGTTATCATTACCATACTTTGCATAATTAGGTAACTAGCAGACATCGTATGGGGGTTTCCCTATCCTTCTTCTCTGGACTGAAACCGTTAACGTTGAACGCAAGCAAACCTTTTTTGACATAACCTTTGGTCGAGTTTAGTCAGGTTACTGGTTAGGG